TGCATGCAAAGCAAATTGTAGGTCCAGCTGTTGTAATAAGACTTCAAATATTTTTTATAATATCTAATATTTTTATTTTGAAGCCAAGAACTTAATGAAGGTTATCCAGATCAACATATTCAACATGTAACGTTACATCTAATTAGTCACAGAATACCAACATAAAGGACTCAGAAAGTCACCAGCTTAGCATACTGAAAAAAAAACTATTCGCATTTAAATAGCTTTCATAACAAAATGAATTGTTTTCCTTTTTTATCAGAAATTAGGTTAATAAGAACAACTGAAAGGAAAAGCCTTCTATACACAAGTGAACAAGACAAGGTCAGCGTATGACTTATACAAGATAAACCCAAATATAACCACCTAAAAACCGCGTCATTTCTCATAAACAGGAAAGATAAAGCCTAATGTTCATTATTTATTCAAATAAAAACAATCGGCGTTGTAATATTTATCAAATGGCTGAATTTCGACACGTACTTACTGCTCAAGGATCAAGCCGCTGCAATGACAGAAGCGTGATGGCAGCGGCAGGAGCGGAAGTGCGGTTAAGAAAGCAGCGCTCGCTACTGACACCCAGCGGACTGGAGAAAAGCCACAACACTGCGATGCATTGTGCTGTACACTAGAGGGCGCGAAACAGACGTGTCGTCCATGACCTTTAGTTTGTGTAGCTTTCAGGCCATTTATAGCAGTCATCAAACATTTATATAATTAAAATCACTAGCCAACTCTTTCAGGGAAAAAGACTAAAATATCGCTGACTCATCCGGCACTGGTTTCTGTGACATTACATGAGGTGATGTTTTAATAAGCAGTGGTCTGCACACATTTAGTCTAAAATATGAAAACAATTTAGCGGTTCATTATATTCTTAAACAATTTTAGCTATCTTTATGGCAACCATGGTGTTCTTGTTATTTTAACATCTTAATAAATAATAGGATTACGGAGCTCCCTCACGTAGTGCTTTCAGAATCTGTGTTTTGTATCATTTTTTATTTTTGTTTATTGATGGAACCTATGCTTACCATGGTAAAATTTTATGGTTAGGCTAAAGGGTATGTCAACAAGGCAATCCATAGAGTAGGCTTACATTTCTCCAAAACACTAAACAAATAAAAAAAATCAGCTGTTACAGCAATTGGATGAGTCAAATATATATTTATACAGACCCATGTAAAACCTTGCAGCTAGACATATCAGGTGTCAATAATATACACATGTTTTGAATGAATTATTTGCATATTTACACTCAACCAAAACCCTTTCGATGTTGCCCCATGGCATGTTGTGTTTGCTCATTTGTTTCTCTAAGTGGATGACGCAAGTCTGTTTGTTGACTATTTTAAGGCACAGCCATTTTGACCTGTGCTGGTCTTAATTTTCACCTGTGGCCGTCTGCCTGTCTGTGACTCTTATTGATTCTCTGGGTCATTCTACGAAATAGATCCCTCTTTTGAAAAGGTGATTTTCAAAGTAAATTTCTTTTTGATTTTTGTTCAATACTGTTTTGAAATATAATTCTGTCTTCAGAAAGGTAACAGGGTATGCAGTTTTACAGTTTAATTTGACATTAGTCTAAAAGCTTTATGAAAATAGAACATGCTTTTGAGAAAATTTCTACAATGCACTTTTCTTTTTTTTAAATTTTACTTATAATGACAATGAGGTTAAAGGGTTAGTTCACCCAAAAATGAAGATTCTGTCATTAATTACTCACCCTCGTGTCTCACACTCAGTGTTGCCAGATTGGAGATGTCCAAGTATCGTACCAGAAGCTCAAAATTATCGTATTTGGAAGAAAATTATCGTACACGAGTCAAACGTACAGAATACAGATATTTATCTAAACCAACAACTTTTTGACACGACCTGCAAATTACCACAATAGATAACTAGGCGTACCGTGTTTACATTGGACGCGAGCAGTGACAAAATACTATAGAAACCATTAATCATTGACTGTTTGCACTGGATGCGACACAACACGACACATCCCCAACAGTAAACCGATGCTTCGTTCTATTTATGACTTATTAAAATGATTTTTAACACTCGCTTTGTCTCGTCCAGTGTAGACAGACTTTAGCTGTTAACTCCACATCTGAGCCGCTGTCATCGGAAGCCTGTGTGTTGCCAGATGTTGAGGGGGTTCTTGCTGTCATGGACCGCAACATAGTGCTCGTTGACTTTAAAGCATGGCACCCTCCTGCATTCTTAACACACTCTGAGGTGTGCACGAGCGCATTTATAGTGGCTGTAATGAGCCGATTTCGTGTATGAATATAGAAGCCCTATGACTACAACTACCATCATTTGAATTTTCATAAAATTATGAAATTATCCTACATTATGGGATTTTTTTCATTATTGATCATACATCGTACAGAGGTCAAAATTATCGTACAAATACTATAATTATCGTACGTCTGGCAACACTGCTCACACTTGTGGACGCGCGTTCATGACAGTACCATGACCTGAGCGTGTGGCGGCGCCGGCGCTGACCCAGATCGGGCGTGATGACGTCTACGCCGGATCTGGGTCAGCTCCGCCACACACTCGCATCATGATACTGTCGTGAACGCGCGTCCACAAGTGACGCAGTAGAGAAAATGTGGAATAAAGTCGTTATTTTTGTTTGCTTTGCGCAAAAAAGTATTCTCGTAGCTTCGTAACTTTACAGTTGAACCACTGATGTCACACGGACTACTTTGTCGATCATCTTGGTACTTTTCTGGACCTTGAATGTGGTAGTTACCTTGCTGTCTATGGGAGGGTCAGAGAGCCCTCATATTTAATCAAAAATATCTTAAATTGTGTTCCGAAGATGAACGAAGGTCTTACGGGTTTGGAACAACACGAGGGTGAGTAATTAATGACAGAATTTTCATTTTTGGGTGAACTAACCCTTTAACATTTTAGGATCAACCCCTACTGACAGAATCAACAAAACACAAGATAACCTGATATACAAAAACAGAGGTGAAATTTGTTTGTCTTTGTAGAGTTTGCTTCCTGATGTCATTATGACAGTTTCTAATTTGTAAACCACATGTGAGAAGCACAAAAGGCACCTGTTTTGTGACCCTTCTGCTTTAAGCAATGCTTAAATGTCTGACTTCACTTTTTGAACTTCATGATATTTTTTTGTGTTATCAGTACATTTCCATGCTTGAAAATATACAAGTGCATTAATCCACAAGCAACCAGCTAAAGAGATCACCCGTTTAAAAGGTTTACCTGACATCCGTCAAATGCTAAAGCACTTAATGCTCACCTCCTGACTCAGCACCACAAACTGTATAAAGCACAATCTTCAATTTCATTCATTATTAATAGTTGAATATTGAAAATTATATTAGTGTATTGATATCTTAATTGAAAATGCATATCAACCCTTTCAGGCACGGTGATTATGTTAGAAACTCTATTCTCATGAAGCCATCATGCCACCACATTGGTATCACCGTGAAATTAATGATGCAACTATGAAATGCATGTATTTTATAAGATAACATGTAATTGGTAAATAAATGACTATGCACTTATTTGATGAAGCAAATACAATCAACAAATGGTTTTGATGAAATATTAAGAGTGCACGTGTTTTTAAATAATATGCATATAATTTATAATAAAAACGTAACAACAAATCAACATAAACATAAAGAATCATCCATTTGATTACATGGTGACATGAAACGATCTGATGCTAAAAAAAATATTATTTCCAGTGATAAACTGTAATACTGAAATAGTATTATATAATTTAAAATAACTGTTTTCTATTTGAATTTATTTTAAAATGTAATTTATTCCTGTGATGGCAAAGCAATCATTTACTCCAGTCTTCAGTGTGACATGATCCTTCAGAAAGCATTCTAATATGCTGATTTGATGCTCAAGACACATTTTTTTTAATCAGTGTTATTACAGTTGGAATACTTAATATTTTGAAACAAAAACAGCATTTATTTGAAATAGAAATCTTAACATTATAAATATATTTACTGTCAGTTTTGATCAATTTGATGCATCTTTGCTGTATAAAAATGTTGTTTTCTTAAAAAAAAAAATCAGTGGTCAAAACAGATATACACTCATCTTATTACAGTTGGAATACTTAATATTTTGAAACAAAAACAGCATTTATTTGAAATAGAAATCTTAACATTATAAATATATTTACTGTCAGTTTTGATCAATTTGATGCATCTTTGCTGTATAAAAATGTTGTTTTCTTAAAAAAAAAAATCAGTGGTCAAAACAGATATACACTCATCAGCTTCATACACTATCACGTGTTTTCAATTCTCATAAACAAACATTAAAATAAAATATTTTATTGAATCGTAAGAAATGACTACGTGCAATTTTTACGATTTTTACTTTAACCCCTTAATAGTGTTCACTGGGAGTAGTATAAGTAACTACCATCAACAAAAAATATGGTATGAAAAAGGAAAAGCTCCTTCCGTATCTTATCATGACGGGATGCTGTGGTTTATTCGCATTGACGTGGGTGGGACTGTCGTTTTATTACGTCAGATTTCGATAGCGTGGCAAAGGGGCAGCGATAAATAGATCATAATGGAGTTTATAAAGTGTGGTCAACAGCAGCACACACGGAGGACCACTAAACGTCAAGTACAGATGTCATCTACGTCCTAAAGGTGAGGAATAAAACATACTGGTGCTTATTTAGTCGCATTCAGCCTAACACCATAACCTGCTGGCTGCTTTATTGGACTTTATGGTGAGCTGTGTGTGTGTGTGGAGCTACATTATGACTGACCGTGAATGAGCAGGTGTGGTGTCTTTATCTTTTGACCTCTGCTTTATTTGCGTTATTAGGATTGGTGGTATAAAAGTGAGATATCTGATCATCTAGATACTTTGTATCGCGTTTCGGAGAATCAAGGCACTTTAAATTGTGTAATGATCAAATTAATTACTCGCGCTGTGCCAGTATGAAACAGCTGATAGCCTCATGGAGACAGGTGCACGAAATATCAAGCGTATAAACGAATAAAAAAATCATTTTCGGTTGTTTGAGAATGTTACTCGCAACGCGTTACGGGCCGTGCGGATTACTGGTGCTTTTCAGGACCTGATTGTGCGCGTGATGCTGTCAGTGAACGTTGGCTTATTAAGAACAGTCACGGAACAGAAAAGAATTATAAAACTTTCTTGTACATTGTACTATCAAACGTATGCCGCGTCAAATTCTTAATCAATCAATCAAATTAAGTCAAATCAAATTGTCACCATTCATTATTGTAGACTGCAATGATGTTTTATATATCAAACTTTTTTTTGTTTTTGTCCTGGTGTATTATAAAGAGACAGCTGTGATAATGAAGTTTTGGGAATGCGGAACATATGTTAAAATCTGTAATACGAATAAAATGGTAAACAATAATAGATAAAAATCTTTCAAACAAGGCGAAGTGAGGAGAATATGAATTTGACATTAATAATGGACAGTGTAATGTCATATATATATATATATAGTTGATTTTAAGCACTGCTTTTTTGCATACAGTGCATATTTAACATGTGTTTAGATAGTACTGTAAAATGGATGATAATTTGCTTGTTGTCTCATCCCTGTAGGCACTTGAGTGAGCAGACATAATGACAGAGGGTGTGGAGATTCATCAGGCCCGGGCAAACAGCGCTGATGCTGCCACAACTGCTGTAATGCAGAGCAGGACGTCCTCTCTGCAGGCCGTAGAAACAGATCCTGGGTCTGAGGAGCCAGACCAACATGAAGAAGAATCCTCCAGTTTTCCAGAGGTGCAGCATCATTCCACTGGAGGAGCGGAGGACAGCGGCGGTGGCTCGGTGGCACCTGATGGTGGCTGGGGCTGGGTGGTCGTTGCAGCTACTGTTCTGGTCTTAGCGATGACTCTGGCTTTCCCTTCTTGCATTGGGATATTTTACACAGACTTGCAGAATGACTTCCAAGCCAGCAACACTGAAATGTCATGGGTGCCAGCCATCATGATAGCAGTGCTCCATGCAGGCGGTAGGGAGGGATCTCTAATACTACTGATTCATGTGTTTGATGCATTAGTTTGCATTAGTTCATCCACGCTTCGTGATGCAATCCTCACGGTGCTCCCGCATTCACCCGCACCACAGGGTCAGATACAGTATTTGAAAAACACTTCTATCAAGTTACTGTTCTTAAACGGTTGTGCAACACTGATCTGTTTCATAATATGAAGCGTAAACACACACAGAGGTCAGAGGATGACAGTGGGAGTTTTGGCCATCGTAAGTGAGATTTTAAATCGTAAGGAGTGTGCATTGATATATCACTTCACAGGGAAATGTATCCAGTTATTGCACACCATCCCAGTCAGTACTAACTCAAAGAATAGCTGACGTGGTGAAAAGGATTTGGGGCACCGGGATTTTTATTCAGCTTAATACAGCTTATTCATCGTTACTAGGCAGCTGTGCTTGAGGACAAAGTACACCAGATATGCAGCCATTACCATCCATTACTTTTACTTTTACTTTTTTACTTTTAGTCATTTAGCAGACGCTTTTATCCAAAGCGACTTACAAATAAGAAAAAGTAATTAAAACTAAAAGCTAAAACTCTATAAATACTATATATATACACACATTTAAGAAAATAAAAGAAATTAAATAAAAATGACACACAGAGGTCAGAAGATGACAGTGGGAGTTTTGGCCATCGTAAGTGAGATTTTAAATTGTAAGGAGTGTGCATTGATATATCACTTCACAGGGAAATTTATCCAGTTATTGCACACCATCCCAGTCAGTACTAACTCAAAGAATAGCTGACGTGGTGAAAAGGATTTGGGGCACCGGGATTTTTATTCAGCTTAATACAGCTTATTCATCGTTACTAGGCAGCTGTGCTTGAGGACAAAGTACACCAGATATGCAGCCATTACCATCCATTACTTTTACTTTTACTTTTTTACTTTTAGTCATTTAGCAGACGCTTTTATCCAAAGCGACTTACAAATAAGAAAAAGTAATTAAAACTAAAAGCTAAAACTCTATAAATACTATATATATACACACATTTAAGAAAATAAAAGAAATTAAATAAAAATGACAAATGCATACAACAACATTTCAAAACTAAAACATTTAAATGAAAACAAAGAAATAAAGCTAAAAACAATTAAAAAATATTAAAAGAACAAAAAGTATGAGTATAATAATGATTCTAACATAACACTAAGCCAAATACCAAAAAACAACTACATATGGTGTATGTACAACCTCACATATACATATACATGTACATATATACAGTATAAATACATTAAATATATATATATATATCCAAATAATGTTTAATCCTAGAAAGCTATTATTATCAGAGGACACGTGAGCATAGCGGTTAGCAGATCAATGAATGAGAGGGCAGCGTTACCAGAGTTGCCCATTTACCACACCTTGTTACAGCACAGTAGGGCTATTGCAAACAGAAACAATACTGTATTACATAGATGTTTCCTGTCGGCTCGATTTTTGAGTGGACTTTGCTGTTCCGATGAGCATGAACGGTATATGAGTGGAGCACTCACATGGGCCGTGAGCGACTGAGCGGAGCACACACACGCATAGAGCGGGATAATACGCAGAGCGTCACACCACGTGAAAGTGAATCCTCCTGAGCGGTGAACTAATTTTCGGCAGCCGGAATTTCAGTGCATCTCTAATTATTGGCGACATCAGAAATGGGTATGGGTAAACCTTATGAACTGAAACGCTTATGTTTGGCCAGACAGCCCTGAATCAGGCAGGAGGTTGTTATTATATTCCTGAACTGACTCTGGAACAGACAAGATACCATTGTTCTTCTTTGAGAAAGGTTTATTTGTCTTTCCAGCCCTTTCTCTTTGCTGTCAGCTGGTCAAGTTAGTGCCAAAGACAATGTTAAGGTGATCCTGTGAGTTTGTTTTTACGCAGTGCTGTGACGCCTAAAGCATTAAAGGGGTCATATGATGCGATTTCAATTTTTCCTTTCTCTTTGGAGTGTTACAAGCTCTTGGTGCATAAAGAAGATCTGTAAAGTTGCAAAGACTAAAGTCTCAAATCCAAAGAGATATTCTTTATAAAAGTTAAGAGTCAACCACGCCTACCTAAAACGGCTCGTTCTAACACACCCCACATACCTACGTCACTATCTGGGAAGAGTTGCATAACGCCGCCCAAATAGTGACGTAGGTATGTGGGGGCGTGTTAGAACGAGCCGTTTTAGGTAGGTGTGGCT